GAATTATGTCCTCTAGAGGACGTGGACGTAAAGGGACGTAAATTTTATATGCTAAATACTTTAGGGACCCATCTTTAGTGGTAAAGCTGTTACATAACACAATCATCATTTGTATCATTATCTTATATAATTTATTAATTTTACCAAGTAGAGACATGGCACATGACTTCGCCCAGTCTTTCTCTGCTTATGTTATACTTCCCACCAAAGCTTCCCATATCTTCATGTGCGCTGGCTATTGTTTTGTCGTGGCTTGTTATAATTATAGTGCACGACATGTCTTGATATCTACTGTTGGTGACATATGTGTCGCCACTTTCCCATGTTACATTAGTTATAAGATTGTTTATAAGGCTTGATCTTTGATGTTCTTCAAGCAGTGATATGCTGAGCCCTCCTTGACTCATTATAATTGAATTGAAGCATTTAGAAGAGATTTTGAAGCCATATTTGATAACTTGGTTGATTTTTCTTTGGATAGTATTGAGAAGACTCTTGTTTAAATAGGAGACCAATAGAAAGTATTTGTATTTCCCTATAATTACCCACTCACAAATATGCTGCTTGATTTTTCCTTTCCATTGACGTTTGTTAAGTTCATCTAGAATTTGAAAAGTTACTTGGCTAAAGGCTTTTCTGTTAGCCTTAAGAAGGCTACATAGGGAGATAAGAACTCCCAAATATTTGATACTCTTATATGGTTTGAGGATTTGAATTGGAAGATTTTCAAAATTGATTGTTCTTGGGCTTTCACATTTAACTTTAATATTGTTGATAATTTTGATTTTGTCTTTGTTGCATATAATATTGTTAATTTGGAAGAATTGGTTGGCTGTTTCAAGAAGAACTTCTATTTTTTTTTGGAGTCAGCAATAAGTACTAAATCATTCATATAGGCGAGTGCATTCGGGGCTAAGTAATCCTATATTCTTTTGCATTTGGAAAGTTTGGAGACAAAGGAATTATAAAAGATAACCCAGGTAATTGGAGAAATAGTTTTCTCTTGTTTTATACCATTATTGATTATGAAGGAATTGATTGGACCAAAAGGTAAATTGATGGATATTTCTCTGTTTGTAAGCAAGTTGATAAAGAGACTTATTAATTGAGAGGGATACTTGATTCTTTCCATAGACTTTTTGATAGCTGATATGGGAATAGAGTTAAATGCTTTAGCAATATTAAGTGAGGCAAATCAGAATTCTCTGTTGCTAACATTTGCTATTTGGATTGTTGAGTTGATGATAGTTAGAGATTCAAGGATAATTTGTCTTATAAACCCTATAAAGTTGAACTCATATAGAATCGAATTAAATTTTAAGATGTTGATAAGTCTTCTGTTAATTATTCCAATAAAGATTTTCCTGGTGGAGTCGACTAGTAATATTGGCCTGGTATCATTGAACTTGTGGCTTCAAAAAAATTTTTTGGATATAAGGGTAATAGAGATTTGTTTTCATAAATGTGAAACCAACAAAGAGGTTAAAATTTAATTGAAGATTAAAATAAGATGAATTGTAATTTTTCCTTTTAGCAGTTTGATCATATCATAACTGATTTTTGACTTTCCTAGAGATTTCTTTTTTGGAAGATTATAGATGGCCTCATTAATGGTATTGTTATTAAGTGGAAAAAGTACTTGATCGTAAATAGTTTGGTTGATTGATTTGAGCAAGTATTTATCTTGCCAGTTTGAAAAGTTTTCGAGGTAAAATTTCTTTTGTATAGAATATTTTTGAAATACTTGTTAATTATTTCTTGAATTGTGTTAGGATCTTCTTCTACTTAATTGTTTTTATCAAGAACTTTGGAAAGGTCAATTCTTGGTTTTAGAGAGCCTAAGGCTTTTTTGATATAGCTCTTGAGCTTGCTATAGAAGTTTTCAACTGTTCTTTTTTGGTTTAACCAGAACTTTTTAAGGGATTCTTGTTGAACTTGGGTGATTGCTTCATGAATTAAGAGTTTTTTAAGCTTTTTTAACTCTTGAAGTGAGATATTTGAATTTCTATTAGTGGTTTGTATAGGGCTTGTAATTCTTGTTCTTAAAGTTGCACTGTGATATAATTTTTTTTGAGTTTTGAAATTATATTATTGATTTTTTTTATTTGGCTCTTAAGTTTTTTTCCACATCAGTGTAGGAATATAATTGATTTTATTATAAATTAAATCTAAATTTTTATTATAAATAAAATTTTATTATAAAAAAATCAATTATAAGAATTAAAAGAATAGTTTAATTTATTTAAAATTTTAAAATTTAATAATTATATATTATCTAAATATAATTTTTTAATAAATTTCTTTAGCAAATATAAAAATAATTAATAATTATTTTTTTATAGTTAATAAAAAATAGTTAAAAAATTTTATTTTCAAATATAATTTACTAAATATATTATTATATAATAATAAATTTTTTTAAATAATTGGTTATTGAATTATAAACTAAAGTAAGAGTCCAAAAACTTTTGAATTAGAGTGTAATTTATTTATTTATTTTTTATACAAATAGGTATTAAATGTAAAAATTTATTAAATAAAGTTTATAGCCATTACATTAATGATTTTTTATATGATATATTAACTAATTCTAGCTTATAGCAATATAATTTAACTAATATAAACTTTTATAAATAATATGGCCTATATATTGAATAAAATTATATAGGTGAAAATCCTGTCACCAGTTTTAACCACCTAATCTGTTAATCCATTTTTGTTAAAAGATATCTTTTTAGAAATACATTTTAATATTTAATAGATTACTTTTTCATATTACATTTTGACTTATATAGCTGCAAATAGAATTTAACATATATATATACTTCCTAATAAGTGCTCCAAAAACTGCAGTTCTTAATTGACACAAGCTACCAATTCTAGAGATATAAATGCCAAGTGGAATGCAACATTATAAATTTCTTAGTAAATACTCCAAGAAAATTCAGTTGACTTAAGTTATCAAATCTAGGAATATAAATGTCAAGCAGGATACAACTCCTATATACAAATAATATTGAATGAATCACTTACATTATATATGTAATAAAATTTATTGAATTGAATCATATACAATTAAAAATCAAAAATTTAATAATTAAGTCAAATGATTTTTTTATAGTTGACATAATTAATACAATTATAATGCAATGCTGCAATTATTTTAATATGATGCAATCACATAATTTTGATACAATTATATAATTTGACATAATTATTTTAATATAATGCAATTATATAATTTTGCTACAATTATTTTTAATTATGATGCAATCATATAATTTGCTACAATTATGTCATAATGTTACAATTGTGATGCAATTTTTAATTGATTAATAAATTTAATCTATAAAAAATTTTTTTATATATTGTATATTATATATATAATAATAATTATTGAATTAAGTTAGACATAATTAAAATTAAAAATTTTAATAATTGAGTCAACAATAATTTTTTATATAATTGATGCAATTATAATGCAATTGTAATGCAATTATTTTAATTAAAATTAAATTGATACAATTATTTTAATTAAAATTAAGTTGATACAATTATTTTAGTTAATACAATTATTTAGTAGATATAGATATATATATATATTTTTATAGGTAAATATCATCTCTTTATTTAATTTGTATAATGGTATATATACATTGTGAAAGAAACAACATCACTCATGTATAATAAGACAATAAGTTAAATGCTAGCTTGCCTACAGTAACTACTTAACTAGTACTGAAAATAAATTTTAAAACAATACATCTTATCAAATAGCTCTGAGCAGCTATGAATACCTATTTAGCATTTTGTGAAAAAAATTAAAGTAACCACTTAACTAGTACTGAAAATAAATTTTAAAACAATACATCTTGTCAAATAGCTCTGAGCAGCTATGAATACCTATTTAGCATTTTGTGAAAAAAATTAAAGTAATCAATTATTAGCTTAAAAATACATTTGGAAAAGTTATATCCATTTTGGATATAAAAGTCTACTAATATGGTTGATAAGTCAATAGTAATTGAATCTTTGAGGGTGATGAAGAAGGAGTTTTTAAACATATCAGGTTTGCTGATATTCTGGTTGTTTTTTTTTGTTGAGGTGTTGTGATGATTCTTGTTTCATTTATACCAGTAGTTGGAAAGGTATTAGCTGTGCTGCATTGGGATATCCAGATTAGTCTATAGAGTTGTATTAGGGTTTCAGTTGATATTTTGATTCAATTGGAATAATTTGATGTAGAGAAAATATTGTCTATAATGCCGCATGCCAACTCTACTAGTTGCCATGCATGCGAGATCATTTTGTGATCATCTTCTGGATAGAAGATGATATTGATATTGGAAATAATTTGCTTGATGTTTTCTGCTGCTAATGGGTACTTAAAGACATGTTGAATATCCTTGATACGGAGGCTACATCTAGAACAATATGGATCTGGATATTGTTCAGAATACAATTTATGAAGGTTTTTTCTAGTAGGGAGTATTTCTGACAATAATTTGACCCTGAAGGTGATAAGGTCACTGTATTTGTTAGATTTGATATTTCTAATATTCCTGTTGAATTTGCTGATAATTTTAAGGCAATAAGAGTTGTAAAAGAAATTGAATGTTTTTAAAATTGATGTGTTTTTGTAGATTATATAGGTTTTGGTGATGCTTAGAATCTTCTTGCACCATCTGACACTGCTGCCAAGTTGTTGATTATTGTGAAAGGAAAATTGCATGGTCACATGAATATATGCAATAATGATCCCAAAAATGACAAATCTGAGAAAAATGAGATATCTGTAATATATTTCTTTTCTTTGATTTCATCGTTTTATTTTAGATATTTAAGATAGTTGAGATAATTAAGAAATTAGATATAGCAGCGATAGTTTAGATAGTTGATATATCTGATATAATTTTTTGAGGCTAGCATGTATATAAGTGAAAGGAAAAAAGTCTGAATAAAACTTAACATCTATTTGTGTAAAATATCTATTTGTTTAAAAATTTAATTGCTAAACATTTACTTGTTCAAATAACTATTATTGCAAATGTTTAACATTTGAAGGTGAAACTGTGACCATAAAAAACTTTGGAAGAGTTTCAAAGTAGTTGATAGTATTGTTAACCATACCGGCAAGTCTGTCACCACTCCGGAATTGGACTTGCCGTTTGCTGGTATGTAGGGGTTGTGTCGCTTGCAATATCAAAAGTACTTGTTGGCACAACAATTATCTAACTTTCCTTCTTCCCACTTGTTCCTCTGGCACAATCCTTCACCAATAGTTACAATATTGGCTTCCACTAGGATTCTTTAGGCGACAAGTATCTCAATAAGATAAGTTTATTAATTATCGTGGCGCAAATACAAATTTGATATTATTACAATGCAAGTCACTAATTCTTCTATCCTAATCTACTTCTATTTATATTAGCTGCGACGCGTCCAACAATCTAATGTCGCGTCATGCAAATCTCCAATAGACTTTCTAAACTTTCCTTCCCACATTGATGCATGGATTGATGCATCGCGCCATATCACGTGACCTGTGCCGATCTCAACCCATATACCATTTTCACTACTAACACTCCCCCACGCCTATCTTGTACGCTCCGCGGACAAACTCCAAACCCAACCTCCCAGTTCGCGGTCTCTGGTGTATGTCGGATCCTCCAAGGGGTGGTTAAGTTAAGGGTGGTCTGTGGCAATCGGGTAAGGACTTGATCATCGTACCTCCTTGCACCGTTTTCATCATTGTTGTTACTAATCACATGTTTCGCTCCATCCAAGTCTCCGATATCGAATTCCTTATGGTAGGTATAGTCATCTCTTACGTCCTTGAATGCTAGCCCATGCGCAATGCTAGTTGTAGTGGTTTCGCAGTCCCAATTCGGGTCATCATCACCGGATTTTCGTATCGCGTCACGTGGTATGTCGGGACCTCGAAACACTTCCACAAGTTGCTTGACTCGCCACACTTTCTCCCTTGGCTGCCCTATCCGGATTGCATCATCAACCGCTGGGTATATTCTTCCTGTTGAGGTAATGGTATCCCATCCAAGCTTCATGGCGGGGGTACTCAGGTAATGTATTAAAATCTTTTCCTCGATCATCCGCCGGCATAGAGATATCGGTCGTGGGTGCATCACGGGTAGGTTGCCACGTATGCCTGTTGTATCCTTCAATGCGCCTGCGTGTTCTGCTCCTGTGATTATTAGCCCTTCGTCTCTCAACCTCTTTGTGCTGTCTCGGGTTACGGGATCGATCGTGGCATCACGATTGATGTTGAGGGTACATCGCATCACTGTTACGTACTCAGATTTTGGGACGGCACTCTTGGTCACACCTTCATGTTCGATCAGGAGTTCTTTACTGGATCCTTTGTCCAAACCGTCTTATAAATCATCATCATCGTGAGCAGTGCTAGTTTTGCGCAGTTACCCAAGTACATCAGCATAAGCTTCCCTTTCAGTTCGTGTAGGAATGTGTTCATCATTTGTTGCCGTAATGCCGGGATGGTGCGCAGCCTGACCGTTTCGTCGCTGGGCGCATGCACTTTCCAGGTAATCACCGACATCATTTCTCCCTTCTCGTCCCATCCTTTCACATCCTGACCGCCCTTGTGCATCTTTCGGGTGTCATCATCAGTATCAACTACTCGTCGCGCCATCTCAGAGCACCCTGTTTCTCCTTTCGCTTTGATCTGATTTCCATCACATGGCCTTGATGATGCTTCTACTGGTGCAGCAGCTCGTTCTTTTACTAACGCTTCTTCCATATGTTTAGGTCGACCTCTCGTTCTCTCATCTGCTCTGGTTTCTATGATGTCTATGGGCTCTGCATGATCTTCCGGCAGCGTTGACAGTTCTCCTTGTTGTACTAGCCATTCAGCGGGATCTGAATCATCGGGGTATGGTCTAGTATCGGATTCATCACAAATTTTCGTGGTGAGATAGTTATTCCTTCCGTCCATCGTTTCTGGTCTCGTATTGCAGGGTGTGGGCTGTTCCTTCGTTACTATATTGTCTTGTTCTCTCGCCACTACTTCTTTTATTGACTCACATTGTTCTTTCAATTTATACGCATCCTTCTCCTCAGTTTTATTGACCTTCTTTAGATTCTCTTCAGTCGCCATCAACGTTTCTTCCAATTGGAAGGAACATGCTGTAGGACCTGGAATCACCGGTTGCGCTTCATCATCGGAGTTGGGACTGTCATTCGTTTTCCCTATCACTTCCCCCTCATCATTCTCCTCATACCTACGGTATTCTCTATTTCTCTTTTCGATTACCACTTTTGGTTCTTTCGCAGCCGAGGCGGCATATTGGTGATACTTTTCCTTCATTTCGCGCATTTGAGTCTTTAATTCTCGAACGCGCTTTTCTAACTCCCTTGTCTTTTGTAGTTCTCTTTCGGCATCGGCTTCGGCCTCCATTGCTGCTCTGATCGCTTCCCTTGGGTCGGTCGCGTTTGCAACGGCGGGTATAGACAATACGTCTTTCCGTAATCCTGTTGCAAGCAACCATTCTGCCGGTTTCTTGTGGTAGTTACCCTTGGGATACACCTTCTCGAGTAACCTCGCAAACCTGCGGGCGTACTCAATCACCTTTTCGTTTTCTTCCTGTCTTATGTTTTCCAACTCTTTCTGCCACTGGCGTCGTCGCTCGAGCAACACGAAGTGTTGCACGAATGCTGGTGCGAAACTTCCTTCGTGGTCGTATTCGTCGTCCCAGCAGGCAAAACGGCTCCAGTTCTCCTCGTACCATTCTAATGCATCCTCTTCCAAATACTTGCCCATCTTCCTTAGCTTTTCGTCATCCGTCCAGTTGTTCCGTTCGGTGGCTTCGTTGTAGCGCCTTATCCACGATCGTGGGTCTTCTTCTACTCCGCCTCCGAACTTCCGGATTCTTGTCTTCTGTGCTCTCTTCTCTTTTGGCTTGGCTCCCCATTTTTGTCTTGCACCTACGTCCACTGGTCTTCTTGAGGCATCTTGTCGTGAGAAGGTGGGGGAACCAGCTTCATTATCCGTTGTGTCATATATGATTTCAATCATGACGCCGTTGATTATTAATCAGGGTGTCACGTGTATCGCGGATGGTCTTCCTCAGACGATTCCAAAAAAGGTATCGTCTTGTTTTGGCGAATAGTGTGTCTTGTTAATTAGATATTCCTATTTTTGGCGTTCGCACAAAAATATCGGGGGGGGGGGGAGTTCAACGTTGTCTCTCTATATGATCTACTCGGGTCCTCCACCAAATGTTGGGTCTCTATATGATCTACCCAGGTCCTCCACCAAATGTTAACCGTACCGGCAAGTCTGTCACCACTCCGGAACTGGGCTTGCCGTTTGCTGGTACGTAGGGGTCGTGTCGCT